AGGGGCTAGCTGTCGGCACATCTGCTAACCCTCCAAACAAAACAGTGAGTGATCAACTGTTACCAAGTAAGGCACAAGATAGGCAGCTTTACCCATAGCTAAGACCCAACCACCTGATCCCTACCCCACTTCTAACACCCGCCCAATTCCTGACCCTCCCAAATCCTGTCCATCCCTGACCTAGTGTACTTCTTAGCCTGCAAGCCCTGCTCTTAAAGCCCTCGACCCAAAGTCCTCCTCTCCTGTCACCTAAATACTCAAGCCCTGAGGACCAACCCCTAGACCAGTGATGGCGAACCTATGACACGCGTGTCAGAGGTGACATGTGAACTCATTTTTTTTGGTTTATTTTTCTTTGTTAAATGGCATTTAAATATATAAAATAAATATCAAAAATATAAGTCTTTGTTTTACTATGGTTGCAAATATAAAAAAATTTCTATATGTGACACGGCACCAGAGTTAAGTTAAGGGTTTTTCAAAATGCTGACATGCCGAGCTCAAAAGGTTCGCCATCACTGCCCTAGACCCTAGGTTCATTTTTGCCAAAATCCATTTGCTGTAGAATTTTCATGACCCTCCATGCCACTGGTTAGAAGCCTTCAGCATCCATGCCTGAAAACCCAGGCATAGTCCTTCCTTCCCACTTCCTTGTGACTGTCCCTGAAATATGGCCTGGTAGCAAGGGCAAGGCAGGACATGGAGGTGGGATAGCCTTTTGGTTAGCACGGGCTCTGGTGTATTAGCTGAGGCTGGGTTTGAATCCCAACATTGTCACTTTCTATCTCCATGGCCTTGTGGAAATTGCTAAGCCTTCCTGAACGTCATTCTCCTCATGGGTAAAACCAAGTAAGAACCCCTGTCTTAGGGCTCCTGCAGGGCTGCTGGCATGGGCGTGAAGTTCCTAGACTGACTCTTCACTCTGCAAACCATAGCTATGCTACTGCTCTTCCATTTTAGAGATGAGAAATCAGGTTCAAAACAGCTACTTGCCAATGGGAAGGCCAGGTTGTTGGAGTCCTCATCTACTTAACAGGACACTAAAAGTAAAGCAATAGAGAAAATGCAACCTAATGGGAGTCTCCTGGATGCTATCCTCAGGTCCACCATAGACTTAGCCCAGCATTGCTGGTCAACAATGTCACTCCCGAGCCTTGAGCCCATTGGTTCAGGCCCAGACCAAACACATTGCGGGACAAGATGTGGGCAAAAGCAAGGAGAAGGCCTTCTTCCCTTCCCCACATAAATACAGGGAGGGGCAAAAGTAGGTGTACAGTTATTTTTAGGGAAAATACAAGAATTAATAAATAATACAAGAATAAACTCTGTGATTCACATACTCACAACTATAAACCTATTTTTGCCCCATCCTGTATATACCTCCCACTCTCCTGCTCTGCTGATGTGGAGTAAGGTGGTACAACCAGACTAGGTAGCAGATGGGTAGTACTTACCAAATTAGATCAACACAGGCCCTGTGACCCAGCAACCCAACATGAGTTCTCACAGAGGCCCCTAAGGGCCTTGCTCAAAGTGTGGCCCCAGGACTAGCAGTATCAGCCTCATCTGGGAGCTGGTAAAAAATGCAGAGTTTTGGGCCCCACTCTAGGCCTGTGGAATCAAAGCCTGCATTTTTTTAATTTTTATTTCAGAGCCTGCATTTTAACAAGAGTCTCAGGTGATACACAAGCACACTGTTTGAGAAACACTGCATAGGAGGATGTGTTTGAGAGTAATGATTGCACTGTTATTAGTGGTGGCAGGAGATAAGAAAAGTGAAACATAGTGTGAGCACCGCTGAGAGGAAGCAGCAGAAGGGGCAGGAGCTATAGAGATTGATCTTGAACTCCTAGCTTTGAGTGACAAACTGAATGAGAAATAATACAATTCTTTGGATGAAAATTTCAAATGCATGCCAGCAAAACACACTTTGGCAGGAGGTGGCAAGAACACATGAAAACAAAAGAAACGGTGGAATGGCTGGCTCTAGGGGGCAGGCAGAGGGGAATGGAGTGTTCAGTTAAAGGGGCATGAAGTGAGGCACCTGACAGACAAGAGGAAAATGATAGCATGAACATAATCCCTGAAATTCCTTTAAATGTAGACCAATTCACCCATGTAGGGTTAAAAGGCTTAAGCATGCAAGCTCGGGGAGAATGAACATGCTGGAACGAAGACGTCCTAAGCCTTTGGGTTTGGGCCAGAGGGAGAGCTGCGATGCTCCAGTGGCCCGAGCGACCTGGGAGGCTGAGTGGGATCTCGGCCTGTCCTCCCCCGCAGCCACAGCCTGCTCTGTCAGGATTGGGACGGGGGTGGGGGTCCGGCCAGAAAAATAATCAGGTTGGGCGGGGAATGAAGAACGCAGCGGAGGAGGCGGCAGCCTCCAGAGGCCTTGCATGTAAGAAAACAGGAATCCACAGCCGCATGTGCAGGAGCAGGAGCGACCCGCGGCAGGGCTTCCCTCTGCCCCAAGGAACAGGGATCGGCCAGGACACGGGAGGGCCCGAGAGGGTGGTATCAAGGGGGCTCATGAGGCTGGGGCACCACTTGAGACAGTTGTCAGTGGCCATCCTGGGGGAAGGAGAGGGGTCCCTGGAAGGAGGAGGCGCTCTCCCTCAGACCCGTGTGTGCAGGGGAA